CCTGCTGGCCCCTCGCGGACATGCACCAAGATAACGCTCTCAAAAAGCTTACCCAGGACCGAGCTAAGACTGACTGGCCTACAGTTTCCTGGGTCCTCCTTCCTCCCTTTTTTGAAAATGGGAACCACATTGGCTCTTTTCCAGTCCTCTAGCACCACACCAGAGCACCATGAGTGCTCGTAAAGCCATGCCGGGGTCCCGCAATGACCTCTGCTAATTCCCTCAGCACTCTGGAGTGGAGATCATCAGGACCTGCTGATTTAAATACGTCTAGTCTGTCCAGAAGTTCCCTGACTAGGTCCTCACTGATCCTAGGCCTGGATGTGCCTCTGGTTGCCCCAGAGTGCCCAGCTGCTCGTGCTTATTCTCACCACTGATCTCCATCCCCACTGAGGTGACAGTAAGCAGAGGTACAGCTGAGCAGCAACCTTTGTAGGAGAGGAGTACTGCAGAAGGAATTAGTGACCAAGTGCTGCTATGAGCCACAAATCCACTCAATGCCTGATGAGATCTTTGCAGGCTGAATCCAGCCTGCAGGATATGGGTGGTCAACCCCCCAATCTACAGTAATGAGCTTGAAACTTGCTTATAAGGAGGAAATGAAGCTCAAGCCTCCAGAAGTCATTCTGATATTTTTTAGGATTGCTTTACAGTCTTTGGTTCTACATACTATGTGACTTATCCTGAACCCATCTGGTGGTAGCTCAAGCTCTTCAATGCAGAAAATGAAATTAACAGAAGAGAATGTGCAATCAAATTCTTCTGAGGGAAGAAAGGAAACTTGGTAATACAGCAGTTAATGAACAACAGATATTTGAAAACTATTTAGTTCTCACTGGCTTCTGGAACAAAAAAAAACAAACAAAAAAAATCATAAGTTCTCTAAAAGCCTTTATAACTGGTATAATCATGACCTTTTAGCTTGGTCAGCCTAACACCTTTTTAATGACATTTAACACTAGGTTTAACCAGGTCTCGTACTTGACTAAGAGGACAGACAGAGAGAGAGAAAGAGAAGAGAAAAAGATGCTGATGCTATGTGTTTCAAAATATTCTAAGATAAGGAAAAACCTTCATGCCTTGTTTTGTCTTGATATATTAATCTCTGTGTGCAGATGTTAACTTCTTCCTTTCCGGGAACCAGAAACTGATAGCTGTTCCCAAAACACAATGTGTTTGCTGAATAAGCAAACTGCCTGTGTGTGACAGACAAATGATCAACTTCTTCCTGTTTCTTCAAGGTTGCTCTGTCTGAGCCATGCATCTTTTCTCGCTGTCTAAAGTATAAAAATGCTTGTAAACTTAGAGTTCAGAGTTCCTTTGAGAACCCTTCTTTTGATCACTTGTATAGCTCTAAATAAACCAAGATGGCTCCATCAATTCTGATACAACCACAACGAGAAGTCTGATTTCTTCCACAGTTTATTCAAAGCAAGAATTTTACTGCCCTATACTCAGGACAATTCAATTCTTTCCTAGTAAATATCTTTATGGCCTGTTTACCTTTAGTACTGAGGCTAATGAAAAGTCATTCGTTTTAACTTTAAACCATAGAGCTAGCATTTAAATTCTATCATGATTGGGATCTATTTTCTCCATATACTTAATTATAACAATAATAAGTGCATTATCTGAAGGAAGTAGATCTCAGTCAGAATGGCTGACCTACTCGATAGGGCGTTAAACTAAGATCGCTGAGGGACGGGCGGTCAATCAATTGTTCTAGCTCAGGTCAATCCCAATCACAGTAGTAACAGCTTAGGTAGCCCAAGGGAACCCACTTTGATGAGAGCCCGAGGAAAGATCACGTCCCATCACATAAGGAAGCCTAGGGAGTCCCATGGCAGACTCAACTGCTTGTACACAAATTCCAGGAGCTCGGGTAACAAGCAAGAGAAGCTGGCCCTTCTTCTGACCGATAAAGATTATGACCTTGTAGGGATAATGGAGACCTGGTGGGACTCCTCCTATGACTGGTCAGTAGGTATAGAAAGCTATACCTTCTACAGGAGAGACCATGTTGGGAAGAGGGGTGGGGGGTGTTCCTCTTTACGTCAAGGAACAGTACACTTCCCTTCAAACTGAGTTCATTAACCATGGAAGCTGTCTTGAGGCCCTCTGGGTTAAAATATGGGGGGGGGGGGAAGAGCATGGGGAAAGGGATATACTCATAGAAGTTTATTACAGATCTCCTAACTGAGAAGAAGAACTGGATCTCAAATTCAATAGGGAACTGGCCAAGGCTGCATGTTCCCAATGTATGATCGTCATGGGAGTCTTCAACTTCCCAGACATCTTGTGGGAAGAGCAAGTGGCCAAGTCTGACCAGCTACATAACTTTCTTGCCTGTATTGACAACCTGTAACTGACGCAAGAGGTCTATGGGTCAACTGGGGGTGAGGCACTGCTGGATCTGGTTCTGGCCAAAGGGGATGATCTGGTGAGATGTCTGAGGATCGAGGGCAAGCTTGGTGACAGCGACCATGATCTGATTACTTTCTCTGTCCAATGCAGGGTGGGCAAATCCCTCAGTAAAACAGAAATCCTCAACTTTGGGAAGGCTGACTTCCACAGACTCAGGAGGCTGGTCAGTAAGGCGCTAAGGGACCATGGGGCTCCCTAGGAAGGGAAGTCCCATTAGGAATGGTTGTTCCTAAAGAACTCAATCCTTAATGCACAAGGGAAGTCCATCCCCTCCCACAGGAAATGCAGTCAGAGGGCAGAGAAGCCCCCTTGGCTGAACAGGGAACTTCTGGGTCTCCTGAAACAAGAGAGAGAAGCCTACACCAGATGGAAAACTGGAATTATCACCAAGGAGAACTATTCAGCACTAGCCCGTACCTGTACGGAGCAGTCCAGAAAAGCCAAAACAGTAACTGAACTCGGGCAAGCCACCAGAATCAAGGATAACAAAAAGTCACTCCTCAGTATATGTGGGAAGTCAGAGGAAGAACAAAAGCAATATTGGTCCCCTGAGAGACTGACCGATATGGGGCAGCTGACATTTGATGCCCAAGAAAAGGCCAATCTCCTAAACTATTACTTTGTGTCAGTTTTCCACCTGCCCAAGGAAGTTTTGGGCCCCCCACTTCAGGAGGGGTGTGGATAAGCTCAAGAGAGTCCAGAGGAGAGCCACCCATTTAATCAAAGGCCAAGAGAGCAAGCCTTACGAGGAGAGGCTGAGGGACATGGGACTCTTCAGCCTGGCAAAGAGAAGGCTCCGGGGGGACTTGTTGGCAGCCTAAAGGTACATAAGACAGGTGGCATCAGGATCTGGGAGAACACTTGTTCACCAGGGCTCCCCAAGGGATAACAATCTAATGGCCACAAACTTCTAGAAGGCTGATTCAGACTCCATATAAGGAAAAACTTCTTTACAGTCCAAGTGTCCAAGGTCTGGAACAGACTCCCCCGCAGAGGTGGTGCAAGCACCTACGATGGACTCAATCAAAAGGCATTTGGATGTTTATCTTGTTGGGATCATTTGACCTCTGCAGACTTCCTGCCTCTGGCAGGGCAGCTGGATTTGATCTCATGAGGTCCCATCCAGCCCCTCATGTCTGTGAAATGTATGAAATCTTTGCTGCAATCATGTTTTATTCTTAGTGCTTTTACTAGATAAAAGATAAAAATTTTTAAATCAAATAAAAATGCTGCTCAAGTTTGCTTTCGTTAAGAGATTAACAATAATGTCATTTTTCACTGTAACAATGAAGTTCTTCAAAGTAAAGAAGCTTCTCATAATCCTTGTCAGGTAGTTGAATATTCATTGTTTTTTAAAACAGAAATGAAGATTGAGACTGGTTAAATTACATTCCCACAATCATGAAGGATCTGCCGATGACAAAAAGTATAATTTATCCGTTTCTCATACCTATAGCAGTTTTGACTAACTATATTTCTAGATATTATATATCTATGTATAGAAAAGACATTTAGGTTAAGATTAATAGAAAAGCTTTGAAACAGATAGAAAGCAACAGTAGTGTTAGCATGCACTGTATTATACCAGAGGAACATGCAATTGCATGTCTTCTTCAATACCAGGAGAAAGAATGGCATTACATTAAGAAGCAAAAAAACCTCACTTTAAAAATGTTCTCAACTCTGAGCAACATACTTATGCTCTTCTCCTTACCCTGCATTTTTTCCATTTAGATATATATTAGTTAGTGTTTTTAACTCAATTTTGCAATCCTCAAATATTTCTGTATATCTACAGCATCTATTTTTGTATTATTTGGGTTAAGGCATTTATCTAAGAAAAATTATTCCAGCATGCAGATACATAATGAGGAAGACAGAAAGAACAATTACTGTGAGCCAGAGCAATAAATGTGCTGTAATAACCTTTTGTAGGAAGGACTTCAAAAATAGTAAGGTAAACCAAACTAAGAACAACCATACCCCAAATTTGAGAAAAACAGGGAAATTATTTCAGTTTGAAATTAACTACAAAATAACTGAAGTCACAACAAACTCACTGACCAAGATCATAAACAAGTGTAACATTAGAACAAATACTTACGTGCTAATTCACAAAGGACACCTCCAGGCTTCATACAGTCCACAGAATAACAAACAAAAGTTCTAGTAAAAGGAAATAAAAGGAAGTTGTACATGTCACTGATTTATAAATGTTAACAGAACTGTATTTGTTCCTTTTCTATTCTAGTTTGCTACTTCAGGCATGACATACTTCAAATCATTAAATTGCAATTCCATTGTCAGAATACAGGTTTTTAAGATGGTGCCAAAAGCAAACAATTAGCTTAATTGTGATTTAGTAACATGATAGCATTTTAGAGCACACGGATTACCTTACGGGGAGTTTCAAGTTTACTCCTTTTCAACAACACAGAATTTTGCTAACACACAGTTACATTTTTCTAAGGGGGGGCGGGTCCTGTCCTTCCAGAACACTGATTTCAGAAAAACACAAACTACAGAAAACTAGGAACCTTAACTCTGCCGACTCCCCTGTTCTTCATTCCTTTCAGAGTTTACAATATCCAATGGAAGTTATCTGGAAGCATTTCAGCCACATTCAAATGTACCTATATGAAATGATGGAAAAGAGGAGCTGCAGCAGCGTGACAAGAGCGATGGTGTGACGTGAAGCAATCTCCATCTAATCCAAGTATGCAATGAAAGGACTGAAGCATGTGCACCCCTCATTTCAGCACTTCATTTTGCAGCTTGTCAAAAGTGGGACTGAGGTTTTTGTGCCATGGAGACCATCAGGGATTAGATGGGAAATAACTGTGGGTTTAATGATGGGTAAATGAAAGAATATACAAGATGATATAAAGTGCCTAGGAGTGAAGGGTTGTAAAAGGTTGTAAAATTTAACCTGCTCCATAAACATGACACTGTCTGCTAAGTGTTTATGTGTATGGCAAGTGTAGGTTTAGGTGTATGGCAAGTAAAACAGGGACACTATCACAGGCATGCTGAAACACTGTTCAAAAAGATAAGAGCCAAGGTCTTCCCTTGTTTGAGAAACAAGGGGAGTTTTGCTGCACTCAACTTCCTGGAAGGTTGAGTGCAGCAACCTGGAAGGTTGTAAATTTGCATTAGGCAGTCTTAACTCCATGTTAATAAAGCTTTGAAACTGAATTGGTACTTTTAAAATGTAAGAAGTGCTGTAGTTCTAGGCAACTTTAATTCTCATGTAGGTCAGCAGCTAAGATGCTACTGCAGCTAGATGAAGACAAAGGAAGTAGCGATTTTTAAGTGCTCCTTGCCACCATCTTATAAATTTTTTTATTTTTTTTTAAACAGAATAATTGTGATTATGGTCAGACATTTAAATGTGTTGTTGCTAAGACAGAGCGACAGAGAACACAGATGTAGCTTATTTCCTGGGAAAAAAAATCTTCAGTTTTATTACATAATGGCTACAATAACGCAACATATATGTGGAGATTGATTATAGTTCTCTTCATATAATCCCTTCTGTCAACATTTCCAGCTAATTCTTCCCTTCCTGTGCAATTAAGCCATTAGTCCCTTGCTGCTTCTGCACTAGGGCTGTGTGTAGCTTTGGTCCCCAATTCAGCCCAATTCAGTGGCCGAATCTCTGAATTCGAATTGAGCCTGGGGATCCTTTCATCTCTCTGAATCGAATCAATTTGGAGGGTTCCGATTTGGAGAGATTTGGCAATTCAGGCACAGACACACCTTTAAATGCATTTTCTACATACCTCAAGGTAGCAGGTGGCTCGTGAATGCTGCGATGCTGGGGCATTCCACAGGAGCACAGGGGGCTCCCCAGTGCGCTCAGCAGCAGACCCGGAAGTGAACCAGAAGCACTTCCGGTCCACCGGGGAGTGCGCTGCCCTCCCCCACCCCTGTGCCTCCCCAGCTCGGTGACTGGTGCCTCCTGGGTGTGGGGGAGCACCCAGGGTGCCCCTGCTGCCAATTGCTGAGCTGGAGGGGGCATGGAGGGGGCCCCCCAACGCACTCCCCAGCAGACCCAGAAGTGGACCAGAACTACTTCCGGTCCACTTCCCGGCTTGCCGCTGAGTATGCACGAGGACCCCTGCGCTCCTGTGGGATGTGCAATCCACCATAGCATTTGTAAGCCATGTTGGTATCTTGAGGTATATAGAAAAAAAAATTTAAAGCTCTGTCTATGGCTGAATCACTCCGAATAAGCATCATATCTTCAGATTCAGCTGAATCAGACAGTGATCTGAATCAACGAATCGAATCACTGTCCCCGATTCAGGCTGAATCCGAATTGAATACGGCTCGTTTCGCACACCCCCATTCTGCACTGCACATGATCCATCTCTCTCAGGCAGTTGCTTACTGAAGTGTCACACTTTCATGGCTAGATCTCCCTAAACTGTACAATGAATGGGGCCTCCAGACCCTCACTCCACCCCATAGGTCCAGCTTGACTTCTGATACCATTTTTAACCACATGGATGAGGAGCTGACCTTTAAACATAAAAGTTGACCCTTAATCTTAACTGTAGCACTAGTCTCCATATTTGTTAGCTTCCCTTCAAATGATACTTGATTTTACCCTGTAATACTTGATGGCTAGAGAATGATATTTAGAAATTTGCTTTTAGAAACTGGCTTGCAGGAAGAGTAAGTATTGCATTAGAACAATGAGTAGAACAGCAAGGGTTAACTGGTTTCTAAAGTCTGGGGAAACAGCAAGGAGATTCATGTTCTCAACATTTTAGCATTCAAGGGTCTAGGGTTAGCATAGACAGGCAAACACATGCTGGGAAATTGGAAATAAGCAGTAAGACAACCACAACGTTGCCTTAAGAACCATAACTAGATAGGAACATGAACTACGAGTCCTAATTGCCTTTTCCTTTAGACCAATACAGCTACAACCTAGGTACCTGACACATGGAAGATATTGAATTTTAGTCAATTTTTAAAATGAAATCTTCATATTTTCCTAAGCGGGAAGCAACTGTGACCACCTAAAACCTAAGATCCTGCTCCCGCCTTTGTTTCAAGTTAATATGCATCATCACAGATCCTCACAGGAGGTAAGAGGCTCCATACCAGCTATGAACTGACTGCCCAGAGAAGTCTTCCATCTATTGACTCCTCTGTGAAATCCTCTGAAATATGAACTTTCATTTTTACCCAGGAGAACTTTTACAATCTTTTCTCCAATGCCTGACACGGTGTTTGTGCCCAAAAGCTTGCAATTAAAGACATTTTTTTGCAAAAATCTCATTGGTGTAATAAAAGATATCATGTCTACTATGAGTCCTGACAGTCATTTTATAAGTTTTTTTCATGAGGCTTAAGGACAGGCCACAAGGGGGCATTTCTTGTTGAGTAACCACTCCTTGCTACATTAGGCTTTTAAATGCATTTTAATACTATTCTTTGCCTGCTGGGGAAATGTATATGTTTTGGGGGGCTTAAGATCAGGACCTGTAATTAATACTTCCGCCTGTATTTTTTCCACACACAGGTTTGTTCTTAGCCCAGACCCAAGGAAAATCTTTTTCCCAAGGATTTTCAGGGTTTAAGGTTTGCCTATATGCCTCTCCAAATGCCCCTTCACTAGGTCAGTGCTAACTGTCGGTGGGTTGGAGTCCCTCTTGTGTCTGTCTATAGCCCAGGGGTGGGCAATTATTTTGGGCAGAGGGCCGCTTACTGAGTTTTGGCAAGCCGAGGGCCGCATGACAGGCACCCAGGGGCAGATGAATATTAATTTTCTAAAATTTTTAGGGGCCCCGCAGGCCAGATAGAATAGCCTAGCGGGCCACATCCGGCCCCCGGGCCGCATTTTGCCCACCCCTGCTATAGCCCCTTTGGGAGATATGTCTTTATCCATGTTCAGGAATACAAATGAAAAGAACTCATTTAGGAGCTCAGCTTTGTCCTTCCTATCTGTTACCAGTTGCCCTAGTTTGTCCTGTACGGGCCCTATGTTATCATGCATTTTCTTTTTGCTCCCTATGTACCTAAAGGAGGACTTTTTGTTGCTAGCCTGAGTTCCATTTCTGCTTTGGCCTTCCTATCTGATTCCCTGCAAGTGCGAGCCAAGCAGGTATACTCCTCCATGGTGGCTATCCCCTGCTTCCACAGTCTATATGCCTTTTTTCCCTGCTAGGCTCTCCTGGATTTCCCTATGAGCCAAGAGGGTTTCTTGGCTCTTTTACCTTCCTTTATGTGGGATGAGTCCCCTTTTGTGCCTGAAAGATCATTCCCTTAAGGAACACTCACCATTCCTGGACTCCCATCTCAATGCTCTTGCCCTTCAGTGCCTCACTTACTAATCTCCTAAGCTTGTTGGAGTTAGCCTTCCCGAAGCCTAGCGCTTCTGCCCTACTAGTTATTCTTCCCATCTTTCGCTAGATACTGAATTCTAACAATTGGTGGTTGTTATCCCCTAGGTTACTCTATATCTGCAGATCACTGACCAGGTCATCCCCTGTAGCAAGCACTAAGACCAATAAGGCATTTCCCCTAGTGGTACCGTATACCTCCTGTGTTAGGTGAAGGTCCTCTATGCTGGTTAGGAACCTACGTGAACGGGGAGATTTAGCTAACTGCTCCTCCCACCAGATGTTAAGGTAGTTTAGGTTACCCATGACAACCATGTCCCTTGAGTGTACTGCTTCTGAGACCTGCCTCAAGAATTCCAGGTCTAACTGGGTTGCACCGCCCCAGTTCCAAGGACCTGATCTTTTCTCTCGGAAATCCATGAAGATGGTACGAAGAGCGAACATCTCGCCTGCTTATTGCTATTTAACCATTTAGTGACATCATCATCACTAATCCTAGCCAAGCCTGTCATATAATATTTGGCTTATAGATCCTAAATTTACAACAACACAGCCTTATACATCTGGAGTATTTTCCTGTTATTTTCCTGTTCCCACACTAATTAGTCCCAATGGTCACCACGTTATGGTTTTATTTATGGCTCTATTGTTCTTGAGGTTCCCTGGCATTTTATTGGGGTTAACTTTAGGCCAATCATTGTCAATCATTAACTGAATCATCTCAAAAAGACTTCTGGGAGTTCGGTCAACTTGACCCCACCAGATTTAATTTTCCTCACAACACTGTCCTACTCCCCATTGGGGTCCTGCAGCCACGCATTGCAGCCTCAGGCCCCAAGCCCTACGCACCACCTGGCTGGGCAACAGCCCCAGTCCCAGCCCCAGCCCTGCCCAACTCTCCCACCCTCCCTCCCTACAGGGGCTTAATTCCCAAACACACACACCCTCGACCTACTTACCTGCTAGGGCTGAGCTCCAGGCTGCCTGGGGCCATGTGCATGTATAGGCACATGATACCCCTGCCTGACCACCCTCCTCCCACTCCCTCTCAGCCCTCTGCAGGCTGGAATTCTGTCAACCTACAGAGGGCTTGCCACAAAACTTCAACATCCATGGGCTTCTCCTGTAAAATAAGAAATCCACAGTTTACTCTGTTTTTCCGTGGGAAATGGAAAATCCGGGTCCCTACAGATCACCATAAGAAATAATGAACATGACATCAGTGGTTGATCAGTCCGTGAAGTCTTGCCCGGGGCTTCCCAACTACGATGTCTAAGTTCTGCACAAGGTAGACCGGGGCGGGTCTACCTCCACTCAATTATTTTGAGTGGAGGGCCACTTACTGAGTTTTGGCAAGCTGTCAAGGACCGCATGGTTAGCCCGCCCCTTGACACATGCCTTGCCCCCTGGTCACCATCTTGGGACCAGAAGTCCCACCCCCTTAACCTCTGACCTTTGCCACCAGAAGTCCCTCCCCTTGCCCCTAGAAGTACTCGTTTGGGGAAGAGGATTTGCCAACTTAGGGGGGAAAAATATATATATACTAAAAATAAAACACCCATAATAGTATATTTTAATGTAATTAAAAAAAAATATATCTGATTTGTGTGCGTCTGTGCTGTATATGTAGAAGTGATTGAATAAAAGCTCAAAATGCAGTCTTACTTGTGTTAGGGTGACAGTATTTGGAACTTAGGTAGCATTGGATTTGCAGCCGAATAAAAGGCTATAACCTGTGGCCTAGCAAAGCTGCTAACCACAAGGCAGAATAGTATGTTAAAAGTAGCACTGCAAGATGCTTAGGCAAGTATTTTCCTAAAAATGTAGTAGTGTTGTAAGATATATAGCTCATTGTGTAAGAACAACAGGGTGCAGACCACCAGCTATTGTTAGGAGATAAAGCAGAAGCAAGACCTTGGAGATGGAGAAGAAATCAGCAAGAGAGCACAAATGACCGAAAGAAGCAGGGGTCAGGGTTTTAGGCATGCGCTCATAGCAAAAAAACATGCAAATAAGTGAAATGCATAGGTAATTCAATGCTAATGAAATAAACAGTAAACAGAAGCTGAGCTTTAGATAGGAGGGAATATGGGTGGAACAAAGGAGGGAAAAAGGTGGGGTAAATGTTAATAAGCATAAACCAAGGCATATAAATATGGAAAGAACTAGTGTTCGTTGCAGCTCCCTAGTTTGTTGGAGCTGGCCTGAAGCTGTCTCCATTTTGAATAAAGCTGTTGATGAGCAATGTGTGCAGGTGATGCTTGATGGCATTGATCCGTTGTCTCCCTAGTCGTTGGGCGTTGCACAAAGTCGGGGTCTAATAACTTGTATACTGTGTGCGGTGCACATGGGTGTCCGGGGATATGGGGCAGGTGGGTATGGGAGTCATGGGGTGCAGATTGGCGGGGGGGCGGGGAAGGGGGGGAAAGGGAATGGGGGGGGGGGGGGGGGGAGTGGAAGTGAGCAGGTGTGCAGGAGTGCAGGTCCTGTGGGGCCTAGAGTAGGGCAGTAGGAGCATGAGGTGTCAGCTGGCAGGGGTTCCCAACCTTTTTATACTTTGGACCTGCAAACTGTATAATTTACAGATTTAAATTTAATTTTTTTTTTTGGGGGGGGGGGTAGGGTTGCAAGGATTGAATGGGACTGGGGAACCTGGGGACCTTGCAGGGAGGCAGCTGTGCAGGCAGTGGCCCAGGGAGATCCAGTTGAGGCTGCCCAGAAAGAAGGGGCTCTGCTGCCTTTCCTAGGAGCAAGCAGCAGAGCCTCCCCCTCCTCTGCCCCAGGCATTTCCCTGCCCACATCCCCCTGCTCCCATCTGCAGGTAGGGGTGGAGGGTCCTGCCCAGCCTGGCACGGGCAGCACCTTACCAGGCTCAGCCACAGCGGCAGGAGCGGGACGGGGCACACAGAGCCAAGCTGCCCCCCTCCAGAACCACCCTACCACCCACACGTAACTACCGGCAGCGGAAGCTGCAGCTCCCATGCAGCTGCTGCCCCCCTCCTCGTTCCCAGCCCTGCCTGCCCCAGCCCTGCGACACAGGCAGGGATGACTGCAAGCAGCCACAACTCCGTGCTCCTCGCACTCACCCGTCTAGTCAAAAAGCATCAGCAACAGGGAACAAGCTGCAGCTCAGTGCAGGGGAAAAGTGGCCCCCTCCAGTGCTCCCCATGGCAGGCGCCCAGAGCCCACATGGAGCTGTTCTGCCTCTCCTCCGTGTCCCCGCCACCTGTGGGGCAGCAGTGGCAATGGAGAGCGGGGACAGGCAACCCCACAAGGGCTCCACGCAGATGCCGCAGGAGTGCTGCACGCAGGCAGCCAGGGGAGGAGCCACTTTTCCCCCATGCTCGGCTACAGTTTGTTCCTCGCTGCCGCTGCCAGCCTGGGCCCCATGCCAGCTCCGGGCCGTGTGGCAGCAGCAGCAAGAGCAGGGCACAAACTGCTGCTGGGGCAGATGAAAATGCACCCCTCCTCATCACTGCTAGACAGTGTTTGCTGGGGGAGCCCACTCTGCGCTAGGCTCCGACGCAGCTCTTTCGCTGCTGGCTGTATGCTGCCCAGTGTGGCTGCTCCACA